AATTACATGCAGATAGTACGTAGTGGACTTACTTTAACCTCAAGAGCTGCTTATACAATATATCTCTACTGGGATAAATTTTACTCAGATACTTTTATGTAAGCGCATTTCATAACGATAACAACTAGCATGCTAATGGCACACTTCCTGATTCCCGGACACTAAAACGCTTCCTAATTAGATGCAGGCAGTACGCAGCAGACTTATTTTAACCTCAAGAGCTGCTTGAACTGTACAATATATCTGTATCGGGACCAATTTTGCTCAAATACTTTTATATAAGCACTTTTCACTATGATAACAACAACTAGCATGCTAACGGCGAGCTGAGGTATGTGTGTGTTTCTTCAGGCAGATTCAGAGGACGGGCTGCTGTTGTACTGCGGAGAGAACGAACACGGTCGAGGAGACTTCATTTCTCTGGCTCTGGTCCGAGGGAAACTGCACTACAGGTAAAGGCCACATACACCTTTATGTGAGATTATGTGGAAATATGATGTGAACGTGAGGATTAAAGATTAAAGGTGCACTGTGTAACTTTTCTAGCAGAGGGAGACATGTTGCCTGGAATGTTCCGCAGTATGACATTGCGCTTATTTATCTCTGTGGAGGCAGCAGGAGGCGCCACAGGGCCAAGTTACATGTCAGAACTTTGGAGAGGCCAATTTAAAATAAGAAGTCAATAAACGTCAATAAAGACCCAGGTTTTTTGAGCAAATTCAAGATGGATAAATTTACCATACCAACTTTATTTAGAAAGCACTTTAAAAACTTTACAGCTGGCCAAAGTGCTGTACACAAACAAAGAATAGACAAGGACAATCGCATTACAAGACAATAAACAATAGAAACTCAATATAACTACTAAAAACATAGAAAACCATAAGATACACGACAACAAGAAATGTACAAGTCAGTTTAAATTTAATGCTATACAGGGACATTCCAGACGAAGCAACAACGTCTCCAAGCAGTTGTACCCTCCACGAGAAAAGTCATGCAGTTCAACCTTTAAAAATGTCTGAAACATGCACAAAACACTCAAAATACAACTTCGAGAAGGTCAATGAAAAGAGGAAACAACAAAGCTCTGAAAAGTTGATTTTGCGGAATAAGTTTGCTTTAATATTTTATCCTTCCAGTTACATTAATTTAGAAACTGTGAAATTTAAGATCAGATTTTACATCCAGACATTGTTCCAATTACTCCAACTTGAGGAGTAGTAGTAAACCAAAAACCTAAAAAAACAGGGACGACAGGTGGAAATGACCTCTAGTGCTACAACCTGGCACAGTGCATCTCTGTGGTTGAGGTTAATGTAGATTTTGCACTGTCCCTGTCTCATAAATAAATACGATTTGTCAAATACTTTTGTACTCCTACTTGCGTCATTTCTTGGACCACTACTTTGTACTTCTGCTTCAATTATAGTACTTTGAAGTCACAGTATTCTTACTTGAGTAACATTTTTGTGTACTCTGCCCACCTCTTCTCCTGTAAATCCTGTGTAAGTTGTTGTATTAACATAAGTCTGTTCTCTCCGTAGGTTTAACTGTGGGACCGGAGCCGCCCAGATCGTCGCAGAGAGCCGCGTTGTGATTGGTCGATGGCACAGCGTGACACTGTTCAGGGACGGCATGAGCGGCTGGCTGCGATTGGACAACGATAACCCCATCTCCGGGCGCTCGCAGGTAGGGCTGCGTATCATTAAGAGGTTGCAGATTTGATACATACCTCGATACACAGGCCACGATATGATCCTTATCTTGATACGGCGAGCTTTTAATTCAGTACGATACATTTCAATATGGTTCAATAAAAAAATAATTTCTAAATCATGGCTGTGACGCTACAAGTCTTTGTTAAACCACTTCTTGTGCAAAGTTCATATAAAAAACGTCCAATTTAGTCATCAAAACAGTGAAAATGTCAAATGTGTCACATAAATGAGTTTCCTAACTCTAATCAAGCAAAAAAAAACTCTAGCGCTGTAATAAAATAATTTTATAAAATATACCCAAAAGTACTCTTGGTGATAATTTCTGATGAAGGGCACATATTACGTATTTGAACTTGATGAACAATCACTGGTTTTGGAGCCTTGCCAGTTTGGGTTTGGGATTGGGTTAAAAAAAACAACAAAAAACTAAAAACATCTTAAGCCTTATTCTTTTTGTCGCTTTAAGTCAGGGGTGTCAAACTCATTTTGGTCTGGGGGCCGTATCCAACCTACTTTGATCCCAAAGGGGCCGGATCAGAAAACTCATGTCATATAAACCCCAAAAAATAACAATAAGTTCAAATATTTGTGCAGAGAAACGCAAATCTATTACAGAAATCTTTTTTAATTGACAAACTCTTTCTTTTACAAAATATTATATATTATGAAAAAATGCAATTCAACACAATGTTTTAACATTAACCTGTTTGCAAATAGGAATAAGTCAATTTTTCTTGGAAAATCCTGCACTCGGCTCCACTTTTCTCAGTTTTGACATTTTTCTGATGAGGGTGTCACGATCAACAGTCAAAACGATCGTCCTTTAAGAGCGTTTGGAAAGAGACAAGTCTTCATTTGTGCTGCTCTGGTGGGAGGGGCCACGTACAGAGACACTGGAGACGCTGCTATGCTCAGCACCGCAGAAAATTACCAATATTTTAATAGAAAATATGATTAAAATATTTTAGTAGAAAATCAGCCGAGGGCCAGATTAAAGGTCTTGGAGGGCCGGATCTGGCCTTATGTTTGACACCTTTGCTTTAAGTCAACAGTTGTACCTGTGTGAAAAATGCAACCAGTATTTTATAAAAGATACCACGGGAAATAAATGACCAAAGATGATCTGTGCTGACAAGAGGAACTCAAACTTTGTACCAGTTTTTGTTTTATGTGGATAAGCCATAGACTGCAGAATAGAAGTGGACTAAAAATGTGACGTCACCCATAATGTTCAGCTCCAGTCAAATGAAGCTCATTGAAGTTATGGGGGTGACCAAAGAGCCAATCAGGAGTGATGGTGTTGAAGGACGTCTCACAGCAACAGTTACAGAGAGAGAGAATCGACAAAGTTTCAATAGAAAGTCCGTGTGATTGAGACTTTGGGACAGTAATTACAGAGATATTAACCATAAACCAGGTCAAATCAATCTCACACCATCCGTTTGTTCCCCAGGGCCAGTACACAAAGATCACATTTCGCTCTCCTCTGTACGTGGGCGGGTCTCCCAGCGCATATTGGCTGGTGAAGGCCACAGGGACCAACCGAGGCTTTGTGGGCTGCATCCAAAGTCTCACCATCAACAACAAAGTGACCGACCTCCGACCCTGGCCCCAAGGAAGAGCCCTGAGCGGAGCAGACATAGGTGAGGAGCAAGACTAAAACAGGACCAAACCAGGACTAAACCAGAGCTCGTTTTGTTGATATTGACACACTGATCACATGAGCCACACGGAAAAGTGCCTGTTGGTTTAGGACTTGTGTTTGGGGCCAGTTGAATAGAGACGATTTCAACCATGAACATCTGGATTTTTTCCCCAGATTTCCAATTATCCATGGAAATCAAATAACCTTGGGACTGTTTTACCATCAAATTATCATCAAATTGAAAATGACTTCTTGGTATGAGCTAAAACAAAGTCTTTTACTTTTACTTCAACCTGAATAATATTAGTGACAATACTTTTACTCACAGTTGTGCCTCATCTTCTTCTATATTTACACATTCACAGTCAGAACATAAAATCTTGCCTGCACCAATATTAAATGGTGAATAAAACTGTATTCCTAAACGTCTGTCTGTTTTCAGGTGAATGTAACGACAGTGTGTGTGACGCGGTGAGCTGTTCTAACGGAGGCGTGTGCTTTGCTAACCGTGCGGACAGTTACATCTGCCTGTGTCCTCTGGGCTTCAGAGGAGCTCTGTGTGAAGAGAGTGAGTCCTGCTGGGATCTGATCTATGAGGCTTTTTAAAGTCATTACACAAACTACTACAGTAATACACTGTAAATGTGGAGAGGGATTGATTATCCTCTCTCCTGCACTTAGGCTACCTGTCGCTTTTCTCTCCTCGTCTTTGTCGTCTCAGATGACACTAGTTTGTGTTGAATAGATGTCTCCATAAAAAGCAAACTGTACACGGTTTTCATTAAAGGAACAGTTTAAGTGAATAAGTTTTATATTTATATAGAGTTTTTCACAGACATTTGTCATAAAGACGCTTTACAGAGCATTATTCATTCACTCCAAACCTGCTGGTGGTAAACTACTACTGTAGCCACAGCTGCCCTGGGGCAGACTGATGGAAATGCCCTCTGACCACCAACACCAACACTCATGCACACACCACTTTCATTCTAGGCAATGTGGGTGAAGTGTCTTGCCTAAGGACACAACATAAACAGTTTTTGTGATTGGCGCCCCCCTGTGGCACTTGATTTTCCCAGTGTCTCTCATCCGAATACCAACCAGACGTGACCCTGCTGAGCTTCTGAGATCTGACAGGATCAGGTTTTGACAAGCTGCTGTGGCCACACACAGTGTGAAACTTTACAAAGAGACAGTACAACATCTCAGTGTGTAGAGAGACGACACATACCACTTTTCCTCTTTCTCACTATAAGGACAGGCCACTGAGCTGCAGAGGCTGCACTAACACTTCATGATTGACTATACATGCTGGGGTTTAGGGAGGGACAGGATGGACTGGGACCAAAAAAATGACAAGTGTTGAAACCAACAAGTAACCCACACCTTTTTGGCGCTTTTTAATCCTATGCAATTTGCAAATAGGCAAATTTCTTGATTGTTGCTGCTAGTACGACTGACAGCCGGTAGACCAGACAACCACTCTGGACTTTTCCAGAATGCACAGATCTGCCCCTGAGTAGTGACCATTCACATCAGAGACAGTCCTTTTAGGTTAGGCTCATTGTGCTTTCTGATTGGATAACTGTCTATATAATTGGATAATCAAAACATCAAATTATGACACCAACAGCTTTTGCAGTTAAGAATGATTTGAACCTGTCTTCCTTGTATTTGGAGAGATGGGTCATGTTTCTGAAATTCTGAAAAGAAAAAAAAAATCAACATACCCTTCTTTAAAGTTTATGTGTTATATATTGAGTAATGCCAAAAATCCAGCATTAAAAAAGGGAAAACGTCTATCAGATATTTTGTCACCTAATTTAATTTTCGAATGAACTGATTACGCTTCAATCACATTTATTACTAAACAGATTACAGGTCCTATATTACACAAAATGGATTCTTTCTTTAGTCATATTATAATGTTGTTGCCTCGTCAAAAACATACCTCGAGTTGTGTTTTGAGTAATCCACCTTTATTAGTGTCTGTTACTGTCTACATCTCCAAAACTCAAAATGCTCTGCTCTAAATCTTCAGGGTTTGTGCGTTAAACATGTGTGAATGAAACAAAACACAATTCCAGGTCTGTTTTTGATGAGGAAAACAACATTATAACAGATCATAAATCGTGTAATATGAGCTCTTTAAAAAGCTTTGCGTCTGCTTCCCTCAGGTTTCGTGCTGTCCTCTCCTCTCTTCAACGCGTCCGTCTTCTCTTTCGCCGCTGTGCCGTGGCCTCAGACCGCCCAGAGTTTCTTGTCGTTCATGGAGTTCGAGTTGACGTTTTGGCCCTCGGCTCCTGACGGGACTCTGCTGTACAGCGAGGACCAGGACAGCGCAGACTTCCTGTCCATCAGCCTCAGCGATCGATACGTGGAGTTTAGATTCGACTGTGGCTCTGGGGGAGCAGTCATCAGGTGCGCTTTTATTTTGTTTGGTTTTCTCTTTATATGTGTCATTTCATGCTTAAAAAATGTATCAGGCGAATCATAACTTGTTACAAATTCGTTAACTGCTATGGAAACTCTGCAAGTACATTTCCGCTCTTTTTCCCGCAGGAGCCTGGAGCAGATCAGCCTGGACTCGTGGCATGAGCTGCGGGTTTCTCGGACGGCCAAGAGCGGAATCCTCCAGGTGGACGAGCAGAGACCTGTGGAGGGCATCGCAGAGGTAACTCATGAACAAACGCCAAGAACCAGATGAATCTGTGTATCATTCGTTCATTCATTTTTCAAAATAAAACCAATAATAAGAAAACAAAAAACAACTATTTTCTTCATTATTTGTCTCCAAAAACCAAAATGAAATTAACGGAGAACGATTCATTTTTTTTATATTTTGATTTTGTGTTTAAATGAATAATGGAAAAAAACAGATAATGGCCGTTTCCCGTTTTTGTGACTTAAACTGTGATGCAGGACTAAAACAGGACTGAAACAGGATTGAAGCAGGACTAAAACAGGACTGAACAGGTCTAAACCGGCTTTAAACCAGAACTGAACCAGGACTAAACCAGGTCTCAGTACTGGTCTGGTCCTGATCTCAGGCCCTAGTCTCAGTCCCGATCTTAGTCCTGGTCTGGTCCTAGTCTGGTCCCCACACTCACACACTGGTTTAGTCCTGGTTCAGTTCTGGTTTAGTCCTGGTTCAGTTCTGGTTTAGTCCTGGTTCAGTTCTGGTTTAGTCCTGGTTTGGTCCTGGTTTAGGACTGAGACTGGGATTGAGACTAAGACTGAGACCAGTTTAGTCCTCGTTTAGAGCTGGTTTAGACCTGGTTCAGTCCTGGTTTAGTCCTTTTTTAGTCCTGGTTCAGTTCGGCATCACAGTTCAAGTCACAGAAAGGGGAAACAGCTGTTATTCGTTTTTTCCATTATCCGATTAAACACAAAATCAAAAAATGAAAAAACAAATCATGATCTTTTTTTTTCATTTTGGTTTTGTAGACAAATAATGAAGAAAATTGTTGTTTTTTGTTTTCTTATTTTTGGTTTTATATTGAAAAACGAATGAACGAATGATACAGCTATTGCTGCACCATAACTCTTAATTTAAACAAAGAGACTTGTAATTCGTTATATTGTGATGGTCCATGATATTATTGTGAGAACTTTGACGATACGATATCACGATATTTCGGTTATTGTTACATCCCTAATAATAATAGTCATAATGTTTTTCAATTGCATATGGATGGGGAATAAAGTCTATATTTGCCCTTATGCCAACACACATCCTTTATTATTAGACCAGTGTGTGTATGTGGATAGTACATTTGTTAAACACAAGGGGGCAGCATTATCACGTCTACCAGATGCAGGAGGCTGTGTGTAATCTTTCACTCCCCATCAGTATCAATAAACCTTTTTCACAATGACCGGAAGTGCCGCGATGTAGGGTAAACATCACTTGCGTTAATGATTTTCTATTGCAAAATGTCTGTGGAAATGTCTCACGCATTTTCCACCAGCTTCATAAATCTGCCCCATCAACAAATCTTCATCCAACAACAAGGTTGACAAAGAACATATTCTGTCCATGAAGTATTTATCCACAACTATCAAGGTAAGAAAGAGGAAAACGTAAACAACAACGAGCATTAGTGAACTACTGAACAAAACTAACATTATGGTCATGAATAAAATATACCGTATTTTTCGGACTATAAGTTGCACTTTTTTCATGGTTTGGGTGTTTCCTGCAACTTATACTCCAGTGTGACTTATATATTAAATTTGATGATTTGCTGGTGAAGCTGGTGGAAAATACTCGAGACATTTCCACAGATATTTTGCCATAGAAAAGCATTAACGTAAGTGATGTTTACCCTACATTGCAGCACTTCCGGCCGTTGTGAAAAAAGTCAATAGGATTAGACTGAGACTGGACCAGGACTAGGAAAGGACCAAACAAGGCCAAGTGTGAAGTCGCCTCAAAGATAATAGACAAATAATAGATATTGTTGAAGTTGAAATTTCAGGATCTCCACAAATGAGGAGTTTACTGGTTGCATAAACTGTAAATACAGATACAGTTTGTCCATACATCAGTTTATATCATATTATTCTATCACATCACTAGGGATGTAATGACATCCACATCTCTCGGTACGATATTATCATGATGATATTCGGTATGATATTTATTACAATATTTTGGAGAGGCTGATATAATTGTACATAGGACACATTTCTGCTTATAAATACCTTGACAAGATTTTGGTGTGAATTATTTCCATCATAATCCCAAGAATTCAAGTAAAAAACATATTTCTTCATGTTGTCTGTGCTGAAATGAATCATGGGATATGTAGTTTCCAATGTTTATAAGCTATTACTACTATAAAACCTGCATTTAAGCAAAGGAACTTGTGATTCGATATATCGTGACAGTCCACGATATTATTGAGAGACTATTTACGATACGATATCACGATATTTCAGTTATTGTTACACATTACCTACACTTTGCTCTTCAATAAATGTATTTCACTCCCAAAGGTGATGTCCCGTAATAGTGACAGTAGCAGTTTTGTGCCTGTAGGGGGCGTTCACTCAGATCAAGTGCAGCTCTCCTCTGTTCGTCGGAGGAGTCCCAGAGTACGACAGAACCAAGAGCACAGCCGGAGCACTCAGGCCTTTCACTGGGATCATTCAGAAGGTACAAGACTCTGCATTTCATTTATACTCGTACTAACAGGACACTTCAACTTCAGTACAGTGGAACATTCCAGAAAAAGCAATAACTTCTCCTCGGAGTTACACAGTGCACCTTTACTGCAGCCAGTCTGAGTCTTTATTTGGACTTTTTTTCTTTGTGTTCAGCTGGTGCTCAATGACCGGCCCCTCCCCATCACCTCGGGCTCGGCCGGGGGCGTGAACGTGGCGAACTCGGACCACCCGTGTGTGGACAGTCCCTGCGCCAACGGGGGCACCTGCAGACCCAAGTGGGACAGCTACGAGTGTGACTGCCCCCTGGGGTACGACGGGCGCCACTGCCAGAAAGGTCAGTACTCTGTTTTAGGACTCTGTGTATCATAATCGTAAATACTTAAGGGAATTGTGTTTCATTTCATTCACACTTGTTTAATACGCAGACCCTGCAGTTCTACTCTCAAACAAAAACCACTCTGTTCCACCTTGTGATGTCATCTGGCAATACAGGAAGTGCATTTTTACACTCCATACACTTTCACTAGAATCATTCTCTACTGAACAAATGGTAACTTGAAAGTTTACTTGAAAACTGCCAGTTCTTGACATCACAAGGTGGAACAGAGCATTTTGAGCTTTGGAGATTTAGGGGCTTGTGGGTAAAAACGACAAAATATTTTATCACAAGTGCCTTTCGTTTAGACCGGACATGTCAGACTCAGACCCGGGGACCAAATTTGGCACACGATATTATTATATTTGGCCCGCAAGATCATATCAAACATGTATTAGAGCTGCCCACCGGCTACAAATAGGCTATAGAGACATTATTTATTTAACATTTTGTTATTATTTTATGTTATGCTTGTTCTGGATTCAGTGTTTAAGAAAAACTATTATTTTAATAAGGAAAGGTTTAACATTACATATCTCGAAAGAAGAGAAAACATTCAAATATTGTTGTTGGCCCATGACTCAGTCCTAGTTTTTAAAATTGGAACTCTGTGAATTTGAGTTTGACACCCCGTGTTTAGACGTTGACGGCTTTTTTGGGGCTTAAAATCGCAAAAATCTGAACCCATCCTCCAGAGTGGAAAAGTTGAATTCGCTCCGTTGTAGTGTTTCCGTCTACACTGCCCAAGACGCAAAACTCTGGTCAGATCTGCTCACGTCGCGTAGACGTTTACATCACGTACATACCGCACACAGAAATCTGGCAGACATACACAGTCGAATTCCACACACTTTTGCGTTACTGTATGCTCGCAGATTTCCTCCCGAAAACGCTCGTCTAAACGCGGAATAAAAAGTGAAAACGCGACGCCACTTTTGCGTCTTCTGTTCAGACCATCTTCATGTAAACGTAGCCATAGACGGACTAACAATAAAAGATTACTCAAACATGTGTGAATGAAACAAAACACAACTCCAGGTTTTTGTTTTTGATGAGGAAAAATCTTTCTAACACGACTTAAAGCTCACAAGAGAGACAATTTTGCATAATATAGGACCTTTAATCATTTTTGTCTGCAGATACGTAAGTCTTGGAATTAGTGTTGTGGTATTTTGTATAGTATAGCAGAAAATAAAACTGCAGTATTTGTTTTAATCCGCTCTAAGCTTGTCTGTCCCTTTCTCTCTTAATGCTTACAGAGTGTGGGAACTATTGTCTGAACAGTAAGTCTTCTCTCAAATAAGACAGACTAAATATTAATATGTGTAGAAAGCAGTTCCTTTTAAAGCTGCACTGTGTAACATTTCTCGTCATCTATCTCCATGAAGACAAGCAGAAATGAAACTAGGCCTAGATACAGGTCAGATCTATGGAGAGATGCCTCTGTTTAAGTGATAAAAAAAATGGTATAAATGCAAAATAGACAAGTTTTAATTTATTGGCGAAACAATCACATCCCAGTGGAGATAAGCAGGTGATGGAGCCTCTAACGGAAAAGTGACACAGTGCACCTTTATCTAAATAGTGCATAGTTACAACAGCAGAGCCTGTAAACGTTCACGTGTTGGCCCCTTCTGTGTGATGTTGGCGCCCTCTTGTGGCAGCACGGTGTAACTGCGTGTTCTTCTTTTCCAGCGGTGACAGAAGCCATAGAGATCCCGCAGTTTATCGGAAGAAGTTATCTGACGTATGACAACAGCGATATCCTCAAACGGTAAGTACGGATTCACGAAGGCAGGAGTGTGAAACTCAAATTCACACAGGGCCAAAATTAAAAACTGGGACTAAGTCTTGGGCCAAACTAAATATTTATTGAAAAATTTGAGCAACATCTGCATTTTTACTCTTCTTTCGAGATATGTAATGTTCAACCTTTTCTTATTAAAATAATGTTTAATAATAGTTAAATCCAGAACAAGTACAATATAAAATAATAACAACATTTTAAATAAATAATGTTTCTATAGTCTACCTGTAGCCGGCGGGCAGCTCTATATGATCTTGCGGGCCAAATATAGTTATATCGTGGGCCAAATTTGGACCCCGGGCCTGAGTTTTACATGTCTATACTATGGGATTTAGTGTTTTTTTTTTGTTTTTTTTTTAGCTTTCTATCATATTATGACATTGTTGCCTCTTTAAAAACATGCCGGAAGAGGTTTTAAATGTCATCTATGCATGTTTTAGTAATTTAGCGATCTCTCCTGGGCCCTGTTTGAACCCTCCTTACGACAATTCTCCATAAAAATACAAAAACATGATACAAAAGTGTACACAACAACTTGACAGATGTGCAGTAGTTTCATTTTTGGGACGCACAATGACTTTGACCCAAGTTGCAGGTCAGATCTGTGGAGAGGCGACTCACAGTCAGAATGCCTGTTTTTCTATGCTTCCTGCGTACAGCGAACACAAGCCCCTCCCACAGTCCACGCTGATTAGAAGAGCAAGACCAAACGTGAAGCAAAAACCAGTCTAAATTTGTGTTACAGTGTCGGCACAAAGCAGGTCTACAGCATAGAGCGGATCTACAGAACAGACCTACTGCCACATTTGGCTGAAGTTTGCCTCACAAAAGTGCACAAATGCATCTGTGTTTGTCACGATGTGTGTTTGGTTTGATAAACGTGCAGAGGCTGTTAAATATCACTGCAAAACCAGAAAAGAATGTAACTCCAGTTTGAAACTTTAAAAAACAGGTTTAAAAATCTTACCTTCACTTTTTTCACAGTTTTGTGTAAAGTGCCAGAGGAAGTTCTCTTAAAGAAGAGGTTCTCAAACTGTGGGTGAGGGTCCAAAAAAGGGGCACAGAGTGTTTCAGTGCAGTTTGCTTGGCTTTGTATTAGGTAGATCATTTTGACTTGGTCATTTTGTAAGTAGCTCACATGCTGAAAAAGTGTGAACACCCTGCCTTAAATAGACTGGACCCATAGAGTGCAAACATTTGAAAACAATTAATATAATTTTAAACTGCACCCTTTAGGAGACAGGGAGCCAGTGCAGGTCACACAGAACAGGTGTGATGTATTCACATTTCTTTGTATTTGTCAGCAGGCAAACTGCGTTCTGGACATGTTGTAAACGCTGCAGGAGCCCTGGTCTAACCCTACATACAAAGAATTGCAATAGTCCAGGCGTGATGTTACAAAAGCATGGATATCTTTTTTGAAATCCATCTATGGGAGGTCGGGCTTTATTTTAGCGAAGACCCTCAACTGAAAGAAGTTGGACTTTATGACAGAGCTAATGTGCTTGTCCAGTTTGAACACAGAGTCCAAAATCACCCCAAGATTCTTCACTGCAGAGAGACAATAAGAGGACAGACGACCGATCATACTGTCTTGCCCAAGCAGTGTGTTAGTTTGCCCAAACACCACAATCCTAGATTTATTTTGGTTTAAGTTCAAGAAGTTTGCGCTCAGCCAAGTCTGTACATCCCTGAGACAGTCCTGCAAAGCTCTGATTGTGCTCTGGTTGTCATTTGCAGTCACTGGCAGATCTGTCCATTAAAGCTGCTGTATGTTTTGTGGTTGCAGGATCTCCGGCTCTCGCACGGCTCTGTTCATGCGGTTTAAGAGCACGGCCACAGACGGGCTGCTGCTGTGGAGAGGAGACAGTCCCATGAGGCCCAACAGTGACTATCTGAGTCTGGGGCTGCAGGACGGAGCGCTGCTTTTCAGGTGAATAACACAGGGACAAGGACAAAGGTTTACGGGGAAGAGGGCAGAGAAATCGAAAGGGTCACTATTCAACGTATTCTGCCTCATCCACTTTTACTTCTGACTGCTACTGAACTTTAACTTTGAACTTTGAGCTTAAATAATCAAGTTTATACCATATTTTATTTCAACCGCAGTGCTATGTTACTGTTTTCTGGGGCAGAGCTCAGACCATTGACCGATGCAGCTGAGGAAGACCTGACAAATATTAGCTCAAGATCTGGAGATGTGTCCCTGGGTGCTGCTCTGTGACACTCACTGCTCCTGACAGGTTTAACCCAGAGACACTGAAGGATGGGTCAAATGCAGAGGACAGATTTCTCTACGGGGACAATTAAATATACCTTAACCGAACGGCTCAGTGCATGTTGTTGTGTCCTTGGGCAGGTCACTTTGCCCACCTTGTCTGTGCAGGAACGTGGTGATGACTGAATACTGCCAGTAGCTTTGATTTCCACAGTTTAAACCAGGACAGATGAAGCTCCAGTGTCTTTACCACCAAAATGAAACAAAACATCTCGTTCAATAGAAGGATAATGCACTGTAACTGAATAAACCAGAGGTCATCAAAGTACGGCCCGAGAGCTGACTCCGGCCCTCCACACACCCCAGCCCCTCCACCTATTTTCTTAAATTACTTTTTAGCAATAATAATAATAATAATAATAATAATAATAATAATAATAATTTTGTTGATTTTTTCAATTAAAAATTATATTTATATGAAGTATTTATATTTATATTTGAGTTTTTATATGACGTATTAACTTTTGCCACTGAATTTGCTGCTGAATTTTCATCTCCTGACAAACTCGAGATCAAACAGTGACAGTCACACGCAGAGTCTGTAGTGCAGTTAAGGACAGAGTACTGTAGTAGTGCAGTTAAGGACAGAGTACTGTAGTAGTGCAGTTAAAGACAGAGTACTGTAGTAGTGCAGTTAAGGACAGAGTACTGTAGTAGTGCAGTTAAGGACAGAGTACTGTAGTAGTGCAGTTAAAGACAGAGTACTGTAGTAGTGCAGTTAAGACAGAGTACTGTAGTAGTGCAGTTAAGGACAGAGTACTGTAGTAGTGCAGTTAAGGACACAGTACTGTAGTAGTGCAGTTAAAGACAGAGTACTGTAGTAGTGCAGTTAAGGACAGAGTACTGTAGTAGTGCAGTTAAGGACAGAGTACTGTAGTAGTGCAGTTAAGGACAGAGTACTGTAGTAGTGCAGTTAAGGACAGAGTACTGTAGTAGTGCAGTTAAGGACAGAGTACTGTAGTAGTGCAGTTAAGGACAGAGTACTGTAGTAGTGGCAGTTAAAGGACAGAGTACTGTAGTAGTGCAGTTAAAGGACAGAGTACTGTAGTAGTGCAGTTAAGGACAGAGTACTGTAAGTAGTGCAGTTAAGGACAGAGTACTGTAGTAGTGCAGTTAAAGACAGAGTACTGTAGTAGTGCAGTTAAGGACAGAGTACTGTAGTAGTGCAGTTAAGGACAGAGTACTGTAGTAGTGCAGTTAAGGACAGAGTACTGTAGTAGTGCAGTTAAAGACAGAGTACTGTAGTAGTGCAGTTAAGGACAGAGTACTGTAGTAGTGCAGTTAAAGACAGAGTACTGTAGTAGTGCAGTTAAGGACAGAGTACTGTAGTAGTGCAGTTAAGGACAGAGTACTGTAGTAGTGCAGTTTAAGGACAGAGTACTGTAGTAGTGCAGTTAAGACAGAGTACTGTAGTAGTGCAGTTAAGACAGAGTAGTACTGTAGTAGTGCAGTTAAGGACAGAGTACTGTAGTAGTGCAGTTAAGGACAGAGTACTGTAGTGCAGTTAAGGACAGAGTACTGTAGTAGTGCAGTTAAGGACAGAGTACAGTGTAGTAGTGCAGTTAAGGACAGAGTACTGTAGTAGTGCAGTTAAGGACAGAGTAGTTACAGTGTAGTAGTGCAGTTAAAGACAGAGTACTGTAGTAGTGCAGTTAAGGACAGAGTACTGTAGTAGTGCAGTTAAGGACAGAGTACTGTAGTAGTGCAGTTAAGGACAGAGTACTGTAGTAGTGCAGTTAAAGACAGAGTACTGTAGTAGTGCAGTTAAGGACAGAGTACTGTAGTAGTGCAGTTAAGGACAGAGTACTGTAGTAGTGCAGTTAAGGACAGAGTACTGTAGTAGTGCAGTTAAGGACAGAGTACTGTAGTAGTGCAGTTAAGGACAGAGTACTGTAGTAGTGCAGTTAAGGACAGAGTACTGTAGTAGTGCAGTTAAGGACAGTACTGTAGTAGTGCAGTTAAGGACAGAGTACTGTAGTAGTGCAGTTAAGGACAGAGTACTGTAGTAGTGCAGTTAAGGACAGAGTACTGTAGTAGTGCAGTTAAGGACAGAGTACTGTAGTAGTGCAGTTAAAGACAGAGTACTGTAGTAGTGCAGTTAAGGACAGAGTACTGTAGTAGTGCAGTTAAGGACAGAGTACTGTAGTAGTGCAGTTAAAGACAGAGTACTGTAGTAGTGCAGTTAAGGACAGAGTACTGTAGTAGTGCAGTTAAGGACAGAGTACTGTAGTAGTGCAGTTAAGGACAGAGTACTGTAGTGCAGTTAAGGACAGAGTACTGTAGTAGTGCAGTTAAGGATCACAAAATGGCGAGTACTAAAGTATGAGAGCGTTGAGTTTTCAAAGAACAGTGGATAACTGATTATTTTTGTGTTCAGTGTAAAGACTGTGCAGTTTGTCTGATGTGTAAAGAAACTGTGGTGGTTTTCAAAGAATATAATCTGTATCGTCAGGGTCATACAGTTCTGTTATACGGCCGACCCGACCCCGACTCCCATCACAGTCAGGAGCGATAATTTGACCCCCAGAGAAAAAGTTTGGGAATAAAATATGCTATGGACGTTCTGTTTTTGAGGGCCCTCTGGTGGTTGGTGGGGCACATTGTCGTTGTTGTGTTTCTCCGTTCACTGTGCACCTCTTTTTATTTCAGTTATAACCTGGGCAGTGGTCCTGTGAATATCGTCGTCAACGGGACTTTCAGCGACGGGAAGTGGCACCGAGTCAAAGCTGTCAGGTAAGTGCTGATCGTAAAGGATCATTTTTGTTGATTTTTGATCCAAAGTTTATTGTATAACGTGTGTTTCCTGCAGAGATGGACAGTCTGGGAAGCTGACGGTGGACGACTACGGAGCAAAGACCGGTCGATCTCCTGGAAAAATGAGACAGCTCAACATAAACGGGCCTCTGTATGTGGGTAAGTAAGACTTCCAAATAAACTCACATTCTAGATACTGCCAGAATGTTCCTATTGATTACTTTGTACTTCTTACATTGTACTTACATACTGATTTGACTGTTGTGTATTTCACAGGTGGTATGAAGGAGATCGCCCTGCACACAAACAGACAGTACCTGGGGGGTCTGCTGGGCTGTGTGTCCCACTTCACCCTGTCCACAGACTATCACCTGGCTCTGGTGGAGGACGCAGCGGACGGCAAGAACATCAACACCTGCTCCACCTAGAACCACCAACCCACGGAGACGGACATTTCGTTTTACACTGCAAAAAAGGAACAGCTACAAAAGCGACTATGACTGCAGGGATTTAAAGGCCTATATTGAACTATTATCTGTGTTATAATGTTTCAACATGAAAAACACACCTGGAGCTGGGAGTGGTTTGGCTCATTCACACATGTTTAAAGAAGACACATTGTGCTTGTGGATTATTATGTTATAATTTGGACAGTTGAAATCGCAATATTAATCTAAAACAGGCGTGCCAGACTCAGGCCCAGGGGCCACATTTGGCCCGTGTTATTATTATATTTGGCCCATATCAAATATGTATTAGAGCTGCCCTCCAGCTGCCGTGCCAGTAGAGAGCGTGCACCTCTAATACTACAAATCCCAGAATGCTTTGCAAATGTGCCTGTCAGTTCGCTTACTGTTCCTTTTTGTGATGTCATTGAATTGAAGTACAAAAAATTATTTACTGTGCACTTTTACAAAGCATTCTGAGCTTTGGGGATGCAGACATACATACATAAAAATCAGCCTAATAATCTAGGATTGTGTGAACATTTGTGAATGAAACAAAACACAACTCCAGGTCTGTTTTTGAGAAGGAAACAACATTATAACATAGATCAGGAAACGATTTTATGTAGGCCCTTTAATTGCAACTCAAAATAACTTAAATAATCATCCCACACACAGTTTATGTTTATACTGAAATGAGTCACCGTATCAGAAATGATTTACATCCAGACACATCATTTCTGTGTCTGTATCAAAGCCTTCCCCATCCACACAGTAACACAAAACCACCTGAAATACAAGTCACATGACTAGGCTGGCATCATGTCATCACAATGTCTCGTGGACGGTAAAAGCAAGGAAGTGGAGCACCGTGTCTGGAGCTGCAGCAGCCGATTTCAAGCCAAGGAAGATGACAAGCATGAAAACAGTCTTTTCTACTAGCAAGTAGATCTAGTTCTGCTGTTTCCCGTTTGTCTGTGGTTTGTTTAACTAGAGCTCCTACGTCAGAGTATCAGCGTTTTCAGGCGTCCACACAGTGCCGGATCAGATCTGTACTCAGATGAATTTGTGGGAGCTGACGGCACCAGATCGTTCCGTCTCTGGAGCTGTTTTCTGTCGGATTATTGTGGACGAACGCTGCATCCACAACCAAAACAACTTGAATACATAGTGTGGATGGGGCCACAGTCTTACTGCCACAAATTGTGAATTTCATTAGGACATCAGTGATGTTTCTGCACTAGGCCCTCATCAGGCAAATAGGAGAAGAGCGATCTCAAATAGGTTGTGGCCAGCACCCAAGGGTGACAGGTCGTTCACAGGTCCAAACGTCTTTGATGTCCTAATACAATTCACAATTTGCAAGCAAGACATTGTGCGTTCATGTTTTTGGGCTGCTCCATCCTCCAACGCGCCCACTTCAAGACACTGATGCGTCTCTGAAGCTCTCATTCGTTTTATAAAGCCGACAGAAGTAAATAAATAAACGGAAATCAGCATATTCAAGTCATTTTACCCACATTCCTTTCAGGGATGCACTGACAAAGCGGTTCCAATACCGATTCCGATACTATAGCTTTAACTATCTCCCGTAAAAAAACAAAACTGATCCAGAAGTGTTATGTAGCTTGTTATTTATCTCACAAGTAACTACAGAACAACTTCGTGAGACTTTCTGGTCCAGTTATGATCTGTAAATTGTTTTATGGCATCAGGTTGTTAGTCCAATCAGGATATCGGCATCCCTAATTCCTTTTTTGCAGTGCGCTCCAGAACAACGAAACCAGCTTTAAACTTTGTCACCTTAAAACTAAAAGAACAGCTTTGTGATTTATGTTTACCGAATGAAGGAGGAAGGAGGAGAAACCTTGGATACAAAAACTAGGCCAATGACGGTTTTGGAATTTAAAAATAAATCTTCGAAAGGACATTTTTGGGGATAATTCCATCTTTATTTTTCTACTGTAATCCTGAGTTTACGCGAGTGCTTGGAATGCTCCTAAATTGTCAGCGGAGCTAGAGAAGGATTGTGTGGTCTTAGGGAATTGTTTTGTTCGTCATAATCTTATTTGGATGTTGATTTGTAGATTTGAAGTTAATGCAGCACTTTTTCGTGTGTTTTTAAAGGTTCTGTGTTACGCGAAATTGACTCTGGTGAGCTTTAAGTTGCGTTAGAATGTTGTTACCTGCTCAAAAACATGCCCAGAGTTTGTGTTTATTAGAGATTCGCAAGAGTTTGTGCGTTAAATGTGTGTGAATTAAACAAAACACATCTGGGAACGCTTTTAGCTGAAGAAACAACATCATAACAGATCAGAAAATAGTGTAATTTTTTTCAGACTTGTTTTTCTTTGTATTGTGTAATTTCTTGAACTTTCAAACGCTAGTCACATGGAGGTCTGATGCTTTCACGGTGAATCTGAAAGAAAAATCATCTGACAAAATCTTCACTGCAAAAACGATGAAGAATTAGGCTGAAATGACTTTGAGTTTGATGGGAAAAGTTGCTAATATAACGTTTATTATGACACTTAAACGGACAGTGTATTGTATTTAAGATTTTGATTAAAATTTTATAAAACAAACTGCAAACTGTGGTCTCATGGTTTGAACGTAGAACAGTGCACTGTGGAGTAAAGGGTCATTCTGGGACTTTTTGTGTAAATAAATGCGTAAATGATTTTCCATTGTCTGTGGTGTTTCTCAGTTAATTATAATTATGTATTTCTCTGATTAGAAAAGACAAATTCTAACCCTCTCCAGGCAGGCGTTGCAGATTTGCAACAGCTAAATGCCAATTACCTACTTACTCCACATCCATTTTTTTTTAGCTTTTTTTTTTTACTCAGGAGCCTTTTTTTCACATCCATGCTGATAAACGTGGACGATGCAGACTGCGCAAGAACGGCTACACACAAACGGCCTGCCAGAAGTGCAAAGTACTTTTGTTGTTTACAAAGGATAAAAATAGTTTCTTAGACCACACGAAAAAGTGATGTTGTTCTGTCACTGTAAAGCGCTGTTACACTGTTGTTAGGTTTATCTATAAAGTAAACATTGTAAACATTAAAAACAAGAAGAAAGACAAGAGATTAATTCAGTTTTACTCGCGAGGAGAACGGGCAGAGAGTGGGCATCAAAACCAACAGTCTCCACACGTTCTGATGACTCAAGGCGGCTCTCCTCTTTTTATTTCATTAGGAGAACCTAGTTACAGAATGATAATTCTCAAGGGGAAGGGGAAACAGCCAAGACATAGTAAGAAACTGGTGCAGCTATGCATAGTCCAAACACATAAAACATGATTAACAATCAGGAGGTGCATTAGGTCAGACATCATCATAACTCTTGCATGTGTGACAGTGGGAGTTGGCTTCATGTGAGGAATCATCTCGAGGTTCACTAGAGCGATAGGACACTGCACACAGTTGTCAAACACACAGAGGTTATTCAACAAGTGACAAGTGATTGGTACCATTATAAATCAAAGAATTGTAGTACATAAATGGTTAACTCATAGGCCTAGAATATCACACAAGTATTTAGCAAATATGGGATAATAAAATTATTCTGACAACTGTGCTTTATGTTTTCATTGTGTTAGGCGTGTTCTATCAAAAAATATTAGACTCAATCAATTTAAATTACAAAAAAATGTTTTCCCCTGCAAATACAATCCTAATACAGAGCTCTGGGTCAAATCACTGTCCCTGATGGCCTCCACTTACGCAGGTCTTACGCCAGGCAATCTGACCCCCTGCCTGTCCCTCAACCCACTTTATAAAACACAACAATATGAATATGCAAATAATATGTTGAGCAGGTTCACGCCTTGAATCGTCGCCTTGAAGTGTCAGCATTTCTTCTTTGGGGGAAGTGACAACGCCCTCCAAACCATTGTAAATCACACCAAGTCTGTTTAGATAAGCCAGCCTGGGTTATCTCAACATTCCCATCTCTGTAAAGGAATTTTGCTTAGAAGAACATCTGTTACCCATTATTTAGGACACACAGATACCTTTAAAAATTACACAATGTTCAATTCAGTGTATAACTTCAGTAAACAATATTCAAACCACCACTTGATACAGCCTTCAATTGTTATGAAAAGTGGTAAATATAAACTCAGCGTTCATATCATTTTCAGTCTTTCCCCAAATATCAGATTTTTTTCCTGTTACTAAAATTTAATTTGAGCCTGAAAGGGTTAAAAGATATTGTTTAAAGATGCACTCTGCAACTTGGGGCTCTGACACCTGTTTGTCTCCGTGGAGATTTTATCATTTTGTCTGGAATCTTCCTCAATATGGCATCAGTATTTTTTAGTCGACTAAAAGACTCTTACTTGCCCTACTACAAAACAAGTCCCTCCCACATAAAGTTACAGTCACATGCATTAGCCAATAGTTTTTCACTCAAACGTTTTTTGTTGAAAAGTACCATGAATTCGTGAATTGATCACAGGCTCCTGAAAATCTGTTGTTTAAATACATTTGTTTTTCTCTTGAGTTTTCAGACGATCTAAAATCTCATCAGGCTGTTTGTTAATGTGTGCATTGAGTGACGCTGTGTCACTCTGCAGTGTTGTCTGTTCACTGGTTTTCTGCTGTTGACTTGATTTTCTTGTTTTAAATATCAGGTACAAACTAAATTTAGCAGCGTTGTAGACTTTGATATTTGTTATCAGGCTGCATGAGTCAGATTTACTGGCTTAATACTGTAAATATTTCCAGTGCTGGAATCCAGTCAGTTTAAACCTAAAAATCTTCTCAAATAGCAGCGTGTACTGTCCCTGCCCAGAGCCGCTGTGCTGCTCACCTGCCTCGACGGGGTTGGAGCGGGTGATGTTCTGGTGAGAGGTCAGTGTGGAGACGAGGAGGTCCCTGTGGAACAACCTCCAGGGGGTTGACGAAGAGGCACAGGGTTCTGCCTCTTCTCCACATCTGAGCAAATATAAACCATGAGCTTATAACACATTTACA